TTTTCACCAATGTACAATGTCACTTATAAACCTCGTGTTTCTCTGCTCACTTCCACACATTGGCAAGTGTGTGCTCGACATCAAAGCACCAAGTAAGATGTCTCAAGTGACACATCCGAATACTAGTACTCCGAAAATGTCCATATATAACCTGGAACCTCTATGCTGCACACGTTTCCCACAAGAAATACAGACTTGAACGAGAGATGACTGGCTGGCCTGGGCACATGGAGCTCAAAGAATCACAGTTTCAGAGGTCTTTAATACTGCCTCAAAATAAAAACAAAGGGCAGCTCAAGAGCATATAATCACAGCTCAAGGTCAATATTATCACACCAAGGAAGCTCAAATTTGCACAACATTTAATGCTCAACCTATCACTGTGCCCCAGCATGAAATCAAACACCATAATCTTCCTATTAAAAAAGTTTAAAATACTCTCTCTCTGTCAGTATCTGAGTGGGAGTGTGTGTGTGCACGTGTGCAAGTGTGGGTGTGCATGTGTGATTGCGTTTACCTATTTGTGAATATATAACCAAATACTGTATGCATGCAAGCTTGCACATATGTACATGTATGTATGTTGTGCTTAACAAGCAGTCAGTAACAGCAGAACTACCCTAAAAATATATCTTCCAAATTTTATCTTACATACTAATTTTCCACCAAACCAACTTGTCAAATCTAAATCTAAGACTGCTAAAATAGACATAATATAATTTAGCTTTATTTTATCCTTATTTAGATCAATCTGAATCTAGAATGAAAGTACGTATTATTTAATATGAAAGAATATATTTTGTGAGGGTCAGATTAATTTTTCTGAAAGTACTGCAACAATAAATTTGCACTCTGCATGTTTGGCAAAAATTATTGTTGCTTTATATATAAACACCACAAGTTCTGGCTAAAAAAACAAGCACACCACCAATCACATCCCCACCTCCCACAAACAAGATTAAATTACAATACATTAAAAAAAAAAAAAAGAAGACTAAACACACAATATCAATGTTAAAGTAAAAGATTATGAAATGCAAAAATCCCATGCTGGGGCACAGAATCGAAGACAAACATTTGTGTTCTGTTGGCAAACATGATTACCTGTATTCATTAATCTCAGATATCCATGTAGATCTACCTCATAAGACCTCTGAAAATCTAGAGCAGGGCAAGTACAGTGATTGTCACTTTCTAAGTAACAATGATCTGTATACCAGGCAATACACCAACTATGCTCACAGTATTGGTCGCAGTGTGCAACTAAAGGCCAATTCATCGCATATGAATCACATACTGCTAACACCTCAACCTGAGGCAGCGAGAACAGTGCAAGTGAAACTGAGCACACAACTCTGCCATTATACACAGGTTCGCTATTAGCATCCATGATAGTCATGGAGGACAGTGTGTGCACATTATGAAGGTAGCCCCACATAGCTGAGACGTACGAACAGGCAGTCTAGCCAGCACAGGGGATCACAAGGCCATAAAAACTACGACCCTCCGCATTACACCAGTGCACCACTAATCTTCAGCTTCCAAATCCAAACCGGCAAACTTATTGGTTGTATCTAGAATCTAAAATAAAGAAAGAAAATTATTTAATTAAAGTTTATGAATGAGTACAGATGAAGTTAATAATACAGTATTAGTCACAGTTTGCATTTATTATAATAAATGATTACTAATTACTGTTACCTGAATGAACATTTCAACCAGCAGTATAACAATTAGTGTAGTATTACCAAAAGAAATTCTATTCCAATATTTCAAAAACTCTAAAATGAATGATTATGTATAATGAAAGTATACATTACTAACAGGTTCATCTTCCTTAATCAGTTTCCCACGACGTGGTGGTAGGTCATGGTTTTCAGTACCTCGGCATCCATTACCGTAATCGTCATCACTCTTTCTCTCCCTCGAATTGGCAATATTTGGTTTTCTTTCCTTTAGAAAAAAATAAATGTTAAAACTGTATGCAGTAACAAAAAACTACAATTAAAGTAAAAATGAAGTTTAAATATTTTTGATAACAAGAAAATTCACTGTATAAAGGAATATTAGGTACCAACTACCATATGCATATTTTTTTTTATTAACACATCAGCCATTTCCCACCAAGTTCCATCACCATTCACTCCATCACTGTCTTGCCAGAGGCATGCTTACACTACAGTTATAAAACTGCAATATTAACACCCCTCCTTCAGAGTGCTGGCACTGTACAGTGGACCCTCAACCAGCGATGGCATCGATTAACGATAAATCTGACTAGCGATACATTTTAACGCAAAAATTTTGCCTCGACTAGCGCTTAAAAACCCGACCAGCGCTATTCGTTCTGTACGAGACGCGTCCACTTTGGCCTGAGCATGCCTCACTTGTCCCGTGGGTGCCAGTGTTTACAAGCCAGCCACTGCGGTCGCTTCCAAACATACAACTGGAACATTTCATATTATCACAGCCTTTGTAGTGATTGCACCTGCAAAATAAGTCACCATGGGCCCAAAGAAAGCTTCTAGTGCCAACCCAACAGCAAAAGGGTGAGAATTACTATGGAGATGAAGAAAGAGATCATTCCTAAAGTATGAAGGTGGATGCATGTCTCTGAGCTGGTCAGGTTGTAATTATAAAACCCCAATCAACCATCGCTACTATTGTGGCAAGAAACGGCAATCAAGGAAGCTGTTCTGCCAAAGGTGCAACTATGTTTTCGAAACTGAGATCGCAAGTGGTAGAAATGTTGAGAGACTCTTATTGGTGGGATAAATGAGAAACAGATAGCAGGAGATAGCATCTCTCAAGCGATCATATGTGAAAAGGCTAGGAAGTTGCATGACGATTTAATTAAAAAATCCAGCAACTAGTGATGCGAGTGAATTTTAAGGCCAGCAAAAAGGGTTGTTTGAGAGATTTAAAAAGGGTAGTGGCATTCATAGTGTGATAAGGCATGGTGAGGCTGCCAGTTTGGACCACAAAGCGGCTGAAAAATATGTGCAGGAATTCCCAAAGGAGTACATAGACAGTGAAGGACTGAAACCTGAACAAGTGTTTAATTGTGACGAAACAGGCCTGTTTTGGAAGAAAATGCCAAGCAGGACCTACATTACTCAGGAGGAAAAGGCACTCCCAGGACATAAGCCTATGAAAGACAGGCTTACTCTGTTGATGTGTGCCAATGCTAGTGGTGATTGCAAAGTGAAGTCTTTATTGGTGAATCACTCTGAAACCCCCAGAGTGTTCGGAAAAACAATGTCGTCAAGGCAAAATTTGGTGTGTGCTGTGGAGGGAAAACAGAAAGGGGCATGGGTCACAGGGACTTTTTCTATGACTGGTTACACCATCCCATTTGCCCCCAATGTGAAAAATTACCTAATTGAAAAGAAATTAGTCCTTAAGTGCCTTCTGGTATTAGACAATGCTCCTGGTCATCCTTCAGACTTGGCAGAGCGACTTTCTAGGGACATGAGCTCATTAAGGTGAAGTTTTGCCTCCTAAACCACTCCTCTCCTGCAGCCCAGGACCAGCAGGTCTTTTCCAACTTCAAGAAATGTACACAAAAGCTATGTTTGAAAGGTTCTTTGTAGTGACCTTAGAAACTCAAGTGACTCTAAGAGAGTTTTGGAAAGATCATTTTACCATCCTAAATTTGGGTAAACATTATAGGTAAGGCTTGGGGGGAAGTGACTAAGAGGACCTTGAACTCTGCTTGGAAAAACTGTTGCCAGAATGTGTAGACAAAAGGGTTTTTTGGGAAGGGTTTGAGGCTAACCCAGAATCCTATCCCAGTTGAGGAATCCATTTTGGGCATTGGGGAAGTCCTTGGGTTTGGGGTTAGTGGGGGGATGTGGAAAGCTGGTGGGGAGGACAATGAAGAACTAACCACTGACGAGCTGCAGATATTTTTGAACAGCAAGAGGGCAGACCCTGGGGAAAAACTGCTTCGGAGAAGGGGATAGAGAAATTGAAGAAGTTCCCCTACTTCTAAGATTAAGGAAATGTGTGCAAAGTGGTTAGAGTGAAAAACCTTTTTTGATGAAAATCACCCTGAAAACAGCTACTGCAACCCGTGTTGGCAACCTGTACACTGACAATGTTGTGAACCACTTTAGGAAAGTCATAAAGGAACGAGAGGTACAGGTATCTATGGACAGATATGTTGTGGGGACAGAAGTCCAGTGACTCTGAAGCTGGTCCTAGTGGAAATTAAAGAACAAGGTAAGTAACCCCAGAAAAAAGCCCTTGCTACCTCAAGTGCTAATGGAAGGGGATTCCCCTTCTGAACACTAAGAAGATCAGTGGTCTCCCCCCTCCCACCCCATCAATCACCACCAGATCTTCAATAAGGTAAGCGTCATGTAACTGTGCATGCCCTTCTTCAGTTTGTGTGTATTAAAATTAAGTTTTCATGTGGAAAATTTTTTTTTTTTTTCAATACTTTGGGGTGTCTTGCATGGATTAATTTGATTTCTATTATTTCTTATGGGGAAAATTAACTTGACTAATGATTATTTTGATTAACGATGAGCTCTCAGGAACGGATTAATATCGCTGGTTGAGGATCCACTGTACTTCCCATCTCCAAGAATCAAGTCCGGACTCCCGGGTTTTCCCCTGAATCCCTTCATAAATTTTACCTTGCTTACAACTCCAACAGCACATTAAGTCCTAAAAACCATTTGCTCCTATCTAACACGCTCACGCATGCTTGCTGGAAGTCCAAGCCCCTCGCACACAAGACCTCTTTTACCCCCTCCCTCCAACCTTTCCTAGGCTGACCCCTACCCCGCCTTCCCTCCACTACAGATTTATACACTCTCAAAGTCATTCTATTTTGTTCCATCCTCTCTACATGTCCAAACCATCTCAATAACCCCTCCTCAGCTCTCTGGATAATTGTTTTGGTAATCCCACACTACCTCCTAATCTCCAAACTACAGATTCTCTGCATTATATTCACACCACACATTGTCCTCAGACACGACATCTTCAGTGCCTCCAGCCTTCTCCTTGTTGCAAAATTCATTACCTATGCCTCACACCCATACAAGAGCATTGGCATAACTATACTCATACATTACTCTCTTTGCTTTCATGGATAAAGTTCTCTGTCTCCACAGATTCTTCAGTGCACCACTCACCTTTTTTACCCTCATCAATTCTATCATTCACCTCATCTTTCGTAGACCCATCTGCTGACACGTCCACTCCCAAATATCTGAATACATTCACTTCCTCCATACTCTCTCCCTCCAATTTGATATCCAATCTTCTGTTACCTAATTTTTTTTATTCTCATCACCTTACTCTTTCCTATATTCACTTTTAATTTTCTTCTTTTATTTTTTTTTTTTTTTTAACAAGTCGGCCATCTCCCACCGAGGCAGGGTGACCCAAAAAAGAAAGAAAATCCCCAAAAAGAAAATACTTTCATCATCATTCAACACTTTTACCACCTCACACATTATCACTGTTTTTGCAGAGGTGCTCAGAATACAACAGTTTAGAAGCATACACATATAAAGATACACAAAAATATCCCTCCAAAATGCCAATATCCCAAACCCCTCCTTTAAAGTGGGGGCATTGTACTTCCCATTTTTCCAGGACTCAAGTCCGACTATATGAAAATAACCTGTTTTCCCTGAATCCCTTCACTAAATATTACCCTGCCCCACACTCCAACAGATCGTCAGGCCAAGTACCATTCGTCCCATTCACTCCTATCTAACACGCTCACGCACGCTTGCTGGAAGTTTCCAAGCCCCTTGCCCACAAAACCTCCTTTACCCCCTCTCTCCAGTTCAAGAGATGCAGGGTAAAGTTAAAATGAGACAAACACAATGTACTCTACTTCTAAACTAACCCTAAAATAAAGTATCTTAACTTTTCCTTTGTTTAGAGATGGAACATTCACTGATGCTAAGGCAGAAATTAGTAGATTAGCCCAAATGAATTTTTCATAAAGAAAAGTACATGGTTAACATATCAGATATCACCTCCTTACTCCACTAGACTCTAGCACGCCGTTAAAAAACAACCATGTACTAACTTTTTGGTACTCTATCTTTCTTCTTTCAATAAATCGGCTGTCTCCCACTGAGGCAGGGTGGCCCCAAAAAAAAATAAAATTAAAGTTTCTTTCCTTTTTAAATTTGAAATATACAGAAGGGTAACTAGCCCCTTGCTCCCGGCATTTTAGTTACCTTTTACGACACGCATGGCTTATAGAGGAAGAATTCTGTTCCATTATCCACAACAGCAAAAATTTTTGGATTCTAAAATATCCCATGGAATAATACTTTACAAAGGGAACAATGGATGAAAGATGAAGATCCCACTCTTAACTGCTGGATATCTAAGACATCTTAAATGTATTGGAAAGCAACCAAAATACATAAATACTGTACACATATATTGCCTTAGATAAATGCATCCTTCAATGTAATAGAGCACAGTGTACATATAAAAACACTGCCTTGTACGCATCCAGTAAGTATGTGTGGTGTATCTGTGCGAGCAAGCAACATTTTTAGAAAAGATTAAGGAAAACCAGTTAGCTGGGAAACTAGTGAAGCAGTCACTGCACTTTTAAGAACCCGGCAAGGATGCTGTAAGTTCGAAGGTCATTTGACCGTGATGCCAACACACTTCTGGAAACACTGTTGAATGTTATCATTATCATAGTGAAGAGCTAAACCCATAGGTGTCATGCAGATGTTAATGAAAAGCTTCAACACTTCTGGCACAACCGTATGGACGATTGCACATCTGACAAAAGATTAAGCTATTACTGGCTTACCATTCTACCATCCCTTTGATCAACCTCCGGTCGTTCTGATGTCACTATTGTAGTTCTCTCTCCGGAAGTCTCGGCGGTCTTCCCGCGCCTCCTCTCTTCTATCGTCACGACGTTCAAATCGACGAGGTTCATCTCTTAAGAGAAAGAGGTAAAACTGTAGGAAATTTTTCTTATAAATGACCCCGAGAAAAAATAAGACAAATTACCAGC